CCTCAGTTGTATCTCCACTCAGTTAATTGGCCTCCTCTGCCAACTCTCTTTCAATCAGAGCTCAATTAGGGTACGTCTATACTTACCTCCGGGTCCGGCGGTAAGCAATCGATCTTCTGGGATCGATTTATCGCGTCTTGTCTAGACGCGATAAATCGATCCCAGATTGATCCCGGAAGTGCTCGCTGTTGACGCTGGTACTCCTGCTCCGCGAGAGGAGTACGCGGAGTCGACAGGGGAGCCTGCCTGCCGCGTGTGGACCCGCGGTAAGTTCCAACTAAGATACTTCGACTTCAGCTACGTTATTCACGTAGCTGAAGTTGCGTATCTTACTTCGAAGTGGGGGGTTAGTGTGGACTAGCCCTTAATATAAACTGGTGGGGAGTTAGTTAGCTCCGGAGCCAGCACACCCTCCTACTGCAAGTAACTTCACCTTATTGCACATCAGTTCCCCATCTTTAAAATGGGTATACTACTTACTAGGATTAAGGAAATGATCTCTAGTGGATAATTTATTCAATAACTCCAGCTTTTTATATGTTTTCAGATTGTCTGTGGACATGGTACAGTTTCTGAGTTCATTTGCCTAACATTTTTTATGAATAATTCTTGGTCTGTAAATGCTGCAGCCTTTTTCACAGAGCTTCCTTCATACATCATTGGCCCCGGAAGCCCCACAAAATGTGTTGTATAGCCCAGAGGGGAATCCTTCCTCCATGCAGATAACTATCTTGCACCTATCTTGAGGGATCCCTGGATTCCGGGGGACCACACTCCTGCCCATTCCACAAGTGGTGAACCTTGCCCTCTCATCAGAATGATCTGAAGAAATTCTGAGGGGTAAGTTTCCTCCATCCTCCCTGTCTTCCTGGATTTTTCCATAGGAAGGGCATTCTGGCCCTTAATTACTCAAAATTTGCTTTTCTGAAATCTATGACTATCTACTACTACTATTCAGTGATCCCAAATAATAAAGAATAAGATTGAGGGCATAAAAATTCTTGGTAAGGAATAGCTCTTGTTGAAACACAATGATCTTTTCAACCCAGAACCTTTAATACACCAAACCATGAATATTTTTTAAGATATGTAGCATAAAGAACTCTTCAAACAGAGGACAAAACATATTTGAGGAGGTTATCCTGATTTGGAAGAGGAAATTGCCATAATTGTTACACAGATGACTGAATTTGACTCTGAAAAGACATTCCTGGTGAGGTAAAGAAATTGTCAAACAAACATCTGGTTAGCAGGTAGATAATGTAGTCCATCCACTCCTTCCCAAATGTATACAATTACAGGGGTGCTAAATGTACAATATGCTAAATACCCCTTCAGAGAAACTGGTTTAACATCCATAAAAACAGGCATAAACATCATGTTGCATACCTCAAGAAAACTGCTCATATGTCCTTGATATATTTTCAAGCAATATTTATTTGATAGTAAAGTGGCTATCAGCCAATGCTTCAACAATATCTTAAACCCCAGGAAAGGCGGATATTGCTGAAATGTTGGCTGACAGACACTTTACATCCAAATAAAAATTGCTTGAAAATATATCAAGGACATATGAGCAGTTCTGTTGAGGCAAGCAACATGATGTTTACATCTCTTCAAAGAAATGAAATGACCCAGTTGACATAAGTCGAAATAATCCATTGTGATCGAAAGAAAACACTTTGGGACAGATTTTCTGCAGGGGGTGGGGCTCAGTGCTGCTTCAGTATAAATGTGAGGTCCTTTTGTGAATCTGGCTGTGAAGGGCAGAATTTAACTTAAGTAGATCTCCAAAGGGTCAAAAAATATGTAAGATACCCCCAAATCACTGTTGTTGTTATTATATGTATTACAGTAGTGTCAAGAGGACCCAGTAAAAAAATTGTACACCATCCAGAACAATGAGACCCCAAACATCCAGTAAAAAGATAGTCTCCGCTCCAAATCTTGGCTCTGGGTGGATGAGACAAACAGGGATAGTGGGAGAATGAAGTAAAAAGAGCATATTTTCCTGGAGACCAGGCATGTGTACAATATAGCTTGCCTCCTGCCTCATGACTGTCCTTATATCCTTGGCATCTATAATACAATACGGTGGAACCTGAGGTCATTCTCAACACCACATACTATGTAATCTCCGTCTTTTCTTCCAACTCCTTCTTCAAAATACACTTATCTCCTGTTTAAAATCAAGGAAAGCCACCTATTTTACACTGGTATAGCAAATCTACCATGGGGGCATTATACCAGTATAAATATCCCTAATATAGTTGGCCCAAAGGAAGGTTATGCTGCAGACTGGAAAGGAAAGGTATTGTACACTATTGGCTACTGATTCTATTGTTGAAATGAGTCTCTTACAAAGAAGATCACATATGAAAAGTGTATGTCAATAAAGGTACTGGACCATCAGGACAGTGAAAACAGAACATGGGTTCTCCACTTGGAGGTTGTGAACTCCAGCAAAGCTGCAAAGAAGCCCAGGCAGTAATGACCACCTCCATTTCTTTATGGCTAGATGGCAGGAGTGATCCTGAAGCTATAAGAGGCATGATCCTGAAATGTTATAAGGGGGGTGCTGTATGGGAAAGGTACAAAACCACTGAATAAAGTAAGGTAAACAGTATTACAAGACAATATACCATGTATAGATGATACCACTGTCTAGCATGTTAACCAACATTGTCACATTGTTTCCTTGTACTTCCCCCATCTGTTTGTATCCACCCGTTGTCTTGTCTTTTATAGACTTAAGTGCTGGGACCGTCTTTTTGTTGTGCATTTGGGCAGTGCCTAGCCCATGATTAGAGCTCCTAGGTGCTGTAGTAACACAGATAATAAATAATATAATATGCATCTAGGACTGTCATAAGAATGGTAGAATCTTATGTTGTACTATGCAAGAGCCTGCGCACCCGTATAGCTGTAATCTGTAAAGGGTAAAAAAGCCAAAAATGACGGCAAACTTTAAAAACTGGACTATAACAAAGCACGAATCCCCGTGGTGACTGAACCTGGTGATATTTTGAACAAAAAGAGCTCTCAGCCATGGTTGTAGCTGTTTTCATTGATACACGCTGACTCTATAGATATTTTAAGTTTCAGAGCAACAGACAGACAGAGTGACAATCCTGGAATCTTACTGTATAGACAGGGCCCTTTGATTTTGGTTTTTATTTTGTTTAAAATTTCTCAGGAATTTATGTGTGTATATTACAAAAACATAGTTTTCTCGGTAAACATATATAGACTATTTGAGAAATAGTGTAGGGTGATGTAATTAAACATGGCATCATAGTGGATGCACACAGGGAAATAGAGCTAGGAGGAGAGGACAATTTCAGGACAACCTGTGCTAGGGTTGCCAACTTTCTAATCCCAGAAAACCAAACACCCTTGCCCTGCCCCACCTTTCTCTGAGGCCCCACCCCTGCTCACTACATCCCCCCTCCCTCTGTTGCTCACTCTCCCGCACCCTCGCTCATTTTTACTGGGCTGGAGCAGGGGGTTGGGGTGTGGAAGGGGGTGAGGGCTCTGGCTGGGGGTGAGGACTCCGGGGTGGGGCAGGGGATTAGGAGTAAAGGAGAGGAGTACTTGTGGCACTTTAGAGACTAACAAATTTATTAGGAGTAAAGGAGGGGGCTCCAGGCTAGGGGGCGGGGCTGAGGGGTTCAGGAGGGGGCTCTGGGCTGGGGGATGGGGTGAGGGCTCCAGCTGGGTGAGGGCTCCAGCTTGCACCCCCAGCTGGAGCTCTGGGATGGGGCCGGGAATGAAGGGCTTTGGGGTGCAGGAGGGGGCTTCGTGCTGAGGCAGTGAGTTGGGTGCAGGAAGGGGTGAGGGCTCCAGATGGGGGTGCGTGCTCTGGGGTGGGGCCAGAAATGAGGGGTTTAGGGTGTGGGAGGGGGCTCTGGGCTAGGGTAGGGGGTTGGGGCATGGGCGGGGGTTTGCAGTGCAGACTCTGGGAAGGGGTTTGGGTGGGGGAGGGGGTTTCGAGCTGGGACAGGGGGTTGGGGTGCTGGAGCCGGTGAGGGGTACAGGCTCTGGGCAGCGCTTACCTGAAACGGCTGCCGGAAAGCAGCCAGCATGTCCCTCTGATTCTGGGGCTCTGCGTGCTGCCTCTGCCTGCAGGCGCTGCCCCCGCAGCTCCCATGGGTTGCAGTTCCTGACCAATGGGAGCTGCGGAGCTGGTGCTTGGGGTGGGGGCAGCGCGCGAAGCCCCCTCTGGCCGCCTCTGTGCCAGAGGGACATGCCGGCTGCTTCCCGGGAGCCGGTCAACCGGACTTTTAACAACCCAGTCACCGGTGCTGACCGGAGCCGCCAGGGTCCCTTTTTGACCGGGTGTTCAGGTTGAAAACCAGACCTCTGTGCCCATCCATTCCCCCCCCCCCGGGGGGGTTGGGGGGCAGTCCCTGGAGATCATTCAGCCCCGCCCCTGCAGGGCCACGTCCCACTGAGCCCTTTGCCTCAGGGAGGGGGCGGACCCTGCAGCCCCACAGTGGGGTCACGTCCTTGTGAGCCCTGTAGTGGGATCCCACGGCCACCATAGGGGTCATGTCCCAGAGAGCCCCGCGCCCTCGAGAGGCAGGTGACGGTCCTAGAACCCCCTGTGGTTCCCTCACACCCAGTGGCAGAGAGTCCCTGCCAGGGTCGGGCGCAGGCCAATGAGAGCCCGGTGACGCAAGAGAACTACATTTCCCAGGCTCCAAGAAATCTATAGCTCCCAGCATGCAATGGGAGACCGGTTAGCTCAATGGGGACCCTGGCGGACTACTCTACCCAGCCTGCACTGCGTCTCGCTCACCCTTTTCGCCGTGTAGTCGTGGCGCTGTGCATTCTGGGACTTGTAGGGTCCGCCCGCTGGAAGTTTTCGGTGGAAAAAGTTTCCGGACCCTTTGCCTTTCCCGGGCGATTTCCATGGTTACCGCGTAGGAGCCAATGGGAAGGGGGCTTCTATCGGTGGGGGGCGGGGCTTAGCCGGCGGCCGGCCAATGGTGGGTGGCGTTGCAGCGGGGTGAGCTGGCAGAGGGGCGTGCGAGTCTCCTTGGCGCTGTCCCCGGCCTAGCAGCCTTGAGCCGCGATGGGTGGCGGCGGGAGCAGCGCCCGGCGCGTCACCTTCGAGGCGGATGAGAACGAGAATATCACGGTGGTGAAGGGCGTGCGGGTGAGAGAGGGGCCGGGGACCCACGGGACGCTCCCCCGGCCATTGCAGGGGCCCTGGGGGCGCCCAGCGCCTCGTCCATCTGCCCCCGGCAGCTTCCTCCTCCCTCCCCATTTCCTCTTCTGCCCCGGGCCGGGGAGCCGCTCAGCGGCCCACCGTTCTGCTGTGTGTCTTCCACCCCCATTGCCCCTGAGACCCTCCCTTTGCCTCCTCCCGTCCCGCTCTTCCTCTCCCTGTCTCTGTGACCCCCCTCCCCCGGGACCCCTTTCCTCTCTCCTGCATCGCTCGCTAGCTTCCCCTACCCTGCTGCATCCGCATTCTCGTCACCCCCTGTTCCTTAGCCCCGGCCCAGCCACCAAGACCCCATCGCTCTTCTCTGCCCTCCACCTGCAGGAGGCCTATCATCATTGTGGAGGCTGGGTGCGTTGTAGGAAGCTTAGAAGAGTGTGGGAACTAGATAAAGTCATGGTGGTTAAGTCTATTAATGACTATTAGCCAGGAGGGGTAAGGAATGGTGTCCCTGGTCTCTGTTTGTCAGAGGGCGGATGGAGATGGCTGGCAGGAGAGAGATCACTTGATCACCACCTGTTAGGTTCACTCCCTCTGGGGCACCTGGCATTGGCCACTGTCGGTAGACAGGATACTGGCCTGGATGGACCTTTGGTCTGACCCAGTATGGCCGTTCTTATGTGGCAGTCAAGTGTTCCCGTGAATAGGGAGCTATGATCTCGTCGTCATCAGGACTTATAAGGAAAACTCATAGGAGGACGCAAAGAGGCGGGACGCTGAGCTGGAAGAGCCTGCGCTTTCTCCTTGACTTCCTCTTGTTTTCCTCTCACCCTTTCCACATGCCCTATTTATTTCGCCCTCTCTCCTTTCATTCTGTCACTGATCAACGCACACACAGGTTTTTCTGTGACACTAAGAGGGTTTGAAATGCCTTGTTACCTGCATCAGAAGATTAAAGTTTTACCAGACAAGGCACTGTAGGGTTCTTGTTGGGTGGTAACAGGTTGCCCTTTTCTGCCATTTGCATGGGAGAATGCTCCAGAACAGACAGGGATACCTGGTGCTGTACATGAGTATTTTCTCTCCCCTGGTTATCTGGTGGAAAAAGTTTCTGGACCCTTTGCCTTTCCTGGGCGATTTCCATGGTTACCGCGTAATAGCCAGTGGGAAGGGGGCTTCTATCGGTGGGGGGCGGGGCTTAGCCCCTGTTCAATATACAGAAAAGCCTTGTATTTCTTCTTCACCCAAGGCACTCATGGTATTTTAAATACCTCAGTGTGGTTTAAAGTAGCTCTTACATCATTGTTACTGTCAGCGTGACTGCACTGGTGCTGGGGAATGGATAGGACATTTGGAAGAGTAAACTTGATTTTAAAGTATTGGGAATTAACGTGGGTTCAGATGTGATATAGGGAGGACATGGACAAATGCAGTTCATATTCTATTTATATCTTTATCGATCAAGCAGTTTTAGAATCTTGTTTCTTGCTACGTCTGTTATGCCCCAATGCTGCAAATGCTTATTACTCTAGTGAATATCCCCAGCTTTAGTGCGAACACTCACATGAATAAAATTAAGCATATGATAGAGAGTCAGAACCATACCTGGGTTAAGGTTGTCTAAGCCTTGCAAATAAGGAGGATGGAATAATTTTAAACCTTCAAGTGTATATTTGATCAAAGACTTAGCAGGGAGATTCAATTAAGAATTTGTACCAATAAAATATTTTTTACAGGGTTTTATTAGTTATGTAATTGGTTTGGTATTTTGATAAAGTTAAAATTAGATTTTAATTAGCCGCAACCTATTTTTCACAGGAGAATTTGACCAAAAAGTAAATAATAACGTTTTACTACTTTTTTCCAAAAAGGCACATAGTGGGAACAAGATACAGTTGTAAATTGGAACATTATAAATATTTCATATTTCTACCCATTTTACTAATATTACTGTCAAGTATTTCCCTCGGGTCAACTAGGCTTATTACAGACTATCAGAATCTGTGCATTACAGAATCTGTGCATTTATTTCTTGTTCCCACGTCAATGCATATTCATTGAAACTATTAACAAATGTGGGAATTCTGTGCTTATGCTGATGTTAGATTGGATTTAGCTGAGGATTACACTTGCTGTTGTTATTATTAGTATTGTGGTAGTGTCTAGAGACCCCAGTCAAATCAAGGCTCCTTTGGGCTATGTGTTATGCAAACACAAAATATGATTCTTCATTAGGATCCAAATAACTAAGAAAAGAGAAACTGATGGACACAATGTAAACAATATGTCAACAGTTACAGAACTTGCTACATTGCCTATGCTGCTTCCATTTTTTATTTTATTTCCCCAGACCAATTTACTCCCCACCCTGCTGCTTTCTGTTCATATTCTATAGCAGGGGTAGGCAACCTGTGGCATGCGTGCCAAAGGTGGCACACAAGCTGATTTTCAGTGGCACTCTCACTGCCTGGATCCTGGCCACTGGTCCGGGGAGCTCTGCATTTTAATTTAATTTTAAATGAAGCTTCTTAAACATTTTAAAGATCTTATTTACTTTACATACAACAATAGTTTAGTTATATATTATAGACTTACAGAAAGAGACCTTCTAAAAATGTTAAAATGTGTGACTGGCACGCAAAACCTTAAATTAGAGTGAATAAATGAAGACTCGGCACACCACTTCCTAAAGGTTGCAGACCCCTGTTCTATAGCAAGCCCAAAATGCCCTTGTTCCCCCTGCCAATATTCAAAATTACCTCCAGGCTCTGTCTGGAGAGGAAGAAAGAAAGGCATGGGGGTGGAAGACCTATTGCTTTGCAAAGCTAATTTAAAATCTTTGATTAAAATTTTAGAAGTTTGGTTTTTATTCTGTGGTTGGGTTTTTTTTTTTTGTCAACCTGTTTTATCTTGCTGGGTTTTATGTTTTTTCCAGCTGTCTGAGAGTGTAATTGATCGTATGAAGGAGCCTTCTTCATCCACTGCAAGGCCACAGTTTCAGCGACGATCAGCATCTGGTGACCATGGCTTGCTCGGAGGTGATGCAGGTATGGCCATACTTTCTGAGAATTGGGGGAGAAATACAGTATGATGAAGTTTTCAAATTACAACGATAAACTTGTTACCATTTTGTAGAAATGACTCTGTAGGTTAATGTACCTGCTGATCACTGTAAAAACGAGACAGTTTTTAGAAAATTGTAATGTTTAAGTTATCCTATTTGATACTTTGCCTGACATTGACAATAACCCCCTCTCCTCCAAGCCAAGTGATACTGATGTACTTGGTTTTGCTTATAGTTCACTAAACATTTTAAAATGCTTTATTAAAAACACACAAAACAAATAGGGGAAAAAATCTAGTCAGAACACTTAAATACTCTCAAATTTGGCATCTTATTTCTTACCTGTGATTGGAGTGTTATGTATGTTCTTGCTATTGATGAATGTATCTTCTCTAAAAATTCAGTAAAAGTAAGCCTGGTTTCTAAGTTGTATAGAATTTCATAAAAGGAAAAACATCCCTGGTTAAAATTTTTCTAAATGATATTGAATATCTGTTCAGGGGAAGAAAATAAAATGTTAGTTTAGGAAGTAGCTCTCAGGTTCTGATGATGATTTTTTTTCCCGCTTGTGTGTTTTGTTGTTGTTGTTGTCATCAAAATCAAGTGTTAGCATTGTTTTATTAGAGATATACAGAATATGCTTTAAGACGGATACTTTATCTTTTGTCTTTGCCTTGATGAAAATAAGGATAATTGTAGCTCATACTAAATCACTTTTGTAGTGTTAATGAGGCCAATGCAATCAAAGTGGCCCATTTCAAACAGTTGACAAGAAGGTCTGAGTATCAGCAGAAGGAAATTAGTTTTTGTAGTGACCCATCCACTCCCAGTCTTTATTCAGGCCTAATCTGATGGTGTCCACTTTGCAAATTAATTCCAGTTCTGCAGTTTCTCGTTGGAGTCTGTTTTTGAAGTTTTTTGTTGAAGAATTGCCACTTTTGAGTCTGTTATTGAGTGTCCAGGGAGATTGATGTGTTCTACTGTTTTTTGAATGTTATAATTCTTGATGTCTGATTTGTGTCCATTTATTCTGTTGCGTAGAGACTGTCTGGTTTGGCCAATGTACATGGCAGGGGGCATTGCTGGCACATGATGGCATATATCACATTGGTAGATGTGCAGGTGAACGAGCACCTGATGGTGTGGCTGATGTGGTTAGGTCCTATGATGGTGTCCCTTGACTTGCGGACAGTGTTGGCAACGGGGTTTGTTGCAGGGATTGGTTCCTGGGTTAGTGTTTTTGTTGTGTGGTGTGTAGTTGCTGGTGAGTATTTGCTTCAGGTTGGGGGGCTGTCTATAAGCGAGGACTGGCCTGTCTTCCAAGGTCTGTGAGAGTGAGGGATTGTCCTTCAAGATAGGTGGTAGATCCTTGATGATGCACTGGAAAGATTTTAGTTGGGGGCTATAGGTGACGGCTAGTGGCATTCTGTTACTTTCTTTGTTGGGCCTGTCTTGTAGGAGGTGACTTCTGGGTACCCTTCTGGCTCTGTCAATCTGTTTCTTCACTTCAGCAGGCGGGTATTGTAGTTTTAAGAACGCTTGATAGAGATCTGGTAGGTGTTTGTCTCTGTCTGAGAGATTGGAGAAAATGCGGTTGTATCTTAGAGCTTGGCTGTAGACAATGAATTGTGTGATGTGGTCTGGATGAAAGCTGGAGGCATGTAGGTAAGTGTAACGGTCAGTAGGTTTCCGGTATAGGGTGGTGGTTATGTGACCATCGCTTATTTGCACTGTAGTGTCCAAGAAGTGGATCTCTTGTGTGGACTGGTCCAGGCTGAGGTTGATGGTGGGGTGGAAATTGTTGACATCTTCATCATCTGGACCCATGAGAAGGATGCCCTTGAGGAATTCCACCAGGATTTCAACAATGTAGTGCAAGTAGAGTAGGGGCGTTAGGGGATGAGAGAAATATTAATGATATCAGTATTCCCTAATAGCCATTTGCTTAGCTGCTATCAGTTCCCAGTTTATCACAGACACTGTGGTAGAAATGGGTCTTGAGTCAAGGTTTCAATGAGGTGAATGTAGCATCTTTCATCTACTGTACTTGAGCGTATTACAAATATTAAGCATTAGAACATACCTGGTAAGGAGCTACCCCCAGTTGACAGAATGGGAAACTTTGACACGGAGGGGCAAGGTGGCATGCCTGGTACTGCACACCGCTCAGCAGTAGAGAAAGGAGTGGAAACCAGATCTCCTGACTCCAGGGTGTCGTCCAGTACCTTTTTGAAGTCAATAGGAAACTTCCCATTGACTTCAGTGGCATCTGGAGTAGGCTCTGGTGCCCTGCCTCAGCCGCACTACAGTCCAGTTTAGTTAAAATAATGTAGTTCTTGTGACATTGTGTGCTCTGTTAGTGTTATAAAAAGGGCCACTCCAGAGGCTGCACTTTCAGTCTTTTGACTGAAATCATACCCTTACCTTTGAGGTGATCTCATTGTGATATATCCCACCACAGTGCTAAGATGCCCTGTAAAACAGTAATAATGTTGATTGCTCTTGCTCACTATTATCAGTGTGGGCAGTTTTAGAAAATAAAATGAAACAAGTGTTGAGAATGGAGTCTCATGTTTAGGCAACTGTGAAAAAAGGGAAATTTGGAATGGGTAATCTGTGCATAGGATTGGCAGCCAGGATTTTCAGATTTTCTAATCCTAGTGTGTATATAACTGTACACTTTATTTGTATCCTCTTTGTGTGGTAGGCTGGGGGAATCAATACAATTCTTTTTCTTTTCTTTTCTTTTCTTGAACTCCAGTCCGTTTGACCCTTTGCAAGCTTAGGGAAACTCATACTATCTTTCTTATATATACTTTCAAATTTAAAAACAACCACCATACATTTAGATGAAGTGATTATTTCTGCTAGAATGTATGGCAGGGTTATACCAGGGGTTCTCAAACTGGGGGTCGGGACCGCTCTGGGGGTCGCAGGGTAATGGGGAGTCGTGAACTGTTAACCTCCACCCCAAACCCCGCTTGCCTCCAGCGTTTATAAAGGTGTTAAATAAATTAAACACCCTTTTTATTATAGTAGGGGGGTTGCACTCAGAGGCTTGCGATGTGAAAGGGGTCGCCAGTAAAAAAAAGTTTGAGACCCACTGGGTTATACCTTACTTTTGTTGTTAAAAATTATTTGTTTTTAAGAGGATTAAATAATGCTAGAGAGGTGTGAGAGATGTCGCAATGTGTACTTTTCCCTGAGTGTTTTCAGAAAAGAACTACAAACTTGAGTTCTTTTGATGCATTAATGCTGGTGGACTTGTTTATACTATAGCCAGACCTAATTTGTCCTCATCCGTGTTTTGTCTGATAAGATGATCTTATAGATAAAGCAGTGACTTGCAAGATTTTTCTTACATTCCTTGTTTGAAACCCAATCGCTGTGTTGATTTAAGAACCTCACATCATATGGATTGCACCCTTTATCTTGGGATATCTTGTTTTATTTCTTTTCACAGTGGTCAAAAACTTTAAGTAGGAAAAATTGAGTAGAGTTTTCTGAAGCTGCTGGCTGAGGAGTAACAGGTTACATTGCTTGCAAGAATTGGCAAGCAAGAGATATGATTGTTGACCTCAATTGGGAATTTTTTTTTTCCGTACAACTATAATGAAATCTGAAGTCCGAATACTATATCTTAAACCATCATAGAAAACTGAAAACGACTCAAGCAACCTGAGCAACATTAAATGTATTGAAATATTTAACAAGTGTGAAATCTTTAAAGTATATCTATAATTCCTAGGGCAATATTGATGAAAAGTAATTTGATCACACTATTTAAGTGCTTTTTCTGAGTATGTATTATATCTGATACTCAGTCATAATAGACAAAGAGAATGATTTAATTCATTTTAGCTTTACTGGATACTCTAAAGTTAATATTCTATTTTGAAAAAACAACCCCAAAGCAACAATCCAAATTACAAGGGGGCGGAAAAGCTCTCATTCCTGGCCAGCATTCCTTCCCTTGTGGGAACAGATTCTTCCTGAGTTTTGAAGGCTTTTTTTCTCTTCTGTTTTTGTTCCTAATAATATCTGTTATTCATTATTTGTATTAAAGTATCAGCTAGAAGAATCAGTTAAGCATCAAGGCCCCACTGTGCTAGGCACTGTACAAACAAGTAATAAAACAGCCTCTGTCTTCCCAGCTAACAAACTAAGTCAGACTTGGAATGTTCAACAAAAGGAGAAAAATGTGACCAGAGAGCCTGTCCTTTCATGTGGAAATGGTACCCTTAATTATGTGTTTTGCTGTGTGAGACGGTGTACAGCTCTTTTGTTGCCCCCGGAGGAACCCTCAAACACCTGAAACATCCCACCCCAGAGGTGTCCCTATAAATAAGGCCTGTCAAGATAGACAATGGTTTAGGGTTTCAAGGGTTAACTTACATTCAGAATTTGGAGGCAACTCATGGAGACACTCTTCATTGGGAGCTAACTAGATGCAACTGAAACTACATAATAATTTTTAAGTAGGGACCATTATAATCATCTAGTCTGACCTCCTACATAACACTAGCCAAAGAACCTTACCCTGGAATTTGTGCATCAAACCTATAACTTCTGTTTGAACTACACTACAGCATGTCTTTAGGAATCATCTAGTCTTGATTTAAACACTTCAGCACCTTCAAAAGAAGGGTCCTATTACTGAGAATAGAAAGACAACTTGGTGGTGCTCATCAGGAATCGGATCGGGGAGCTTCAGGGAAAATATAGGAGCTATTCTGTGTGGCTTGTACTTTCTGTTTGTTTAGTTTTGAGTTCATGGTTTGTAAAACTGCATGGAGGAATGCAACTAGAGTTTGCCAAGTTAGTGCCCATTTGGTTTAATCAAGAGTTCCTCTGAAAGTAAAGTCTCACCCTTTGCTAGTCTTGCACTCTGAAAATAGTTGTTCCTTTTCATTTACCATGTGATGACCATTTTAAAGTAACAAAAAAGTTTGGTCTGTACATGAAAATAGAGTCTAACATGGC